AAGTTCCTCTTTAAACTTCATTAAAGAACACAATTTTGTACAAATAATTGAATGTTATGCTACTATTTATAAAAATAAAATCAGAAATCCATTAAAAGATAAGTTCTCTATCATTTTTTCAATTCACAAATGATTTTGCCCTCACACTTGCATTGCCTACTAAGAAAGTTAGTACCGGTAGTTATCGGGTTAACATTAGTGCCTGAAGAGGGGACTTTTCCATAGAGGTTGAGTTATGACTTTAGATTGTTTGTTTCTCAATTCACGGTCGAGTGATTAGTTCAGCAATAATTTAAGTTAAATATTAGTTAACTTGTGTTGGAAAAAACTGTGTTACTATGGAAGTTAACGAATCTGATGTGTAAAGTCTGAAACAGTCCGTGTCAGTATTGACAGAACAAGTGGAAATGCTAACACGTATGGTCACTGATCTGCTAGTGAGAAAAAGTCTCCCTCCCCTCAATTTCAAACTTTGAGAGTTCATTATACCTATTGCCCTGTGGACAGTTCATCAATTTACAATTTACATCACCTCAGTCAACCCACTACCCCTACCTGTTGAGAAGTTCAATGGTTATTTGGATTTTAATGTCTTAAAAGTTTTGAAATGCATTTTTATATGTATCAAGTACCTGAGAATAAATGGGTGGAAACTGCAGCTTCTTGACTGATGAGATGACCACTAGAATGGTGGAAGGCTTTCAGATCAGAAATGGCTTTTGAACACTGGCAAGAATTGAAGAAATATTGACTAATTTGTACCCAGCAGTGTTAGATAATATCGAATTGGCTAAGGAACTCTTTAGTAGGAAGTACCACACTAATGCAGGGGAGTCAGTTGAGACATTTGTTTGGAAAATTGTGAAAACTTATAAATTATGGATTCTTGAAGCTACAGAAAGAGACATTATGAAGTGTATAATATCATGTTTCTTTACGAGAATACTTGGAATGTTACTATGTTATATCTATTGCTTATGTACTAAAAATTACAAAACAATAGGAGCATTGCTGGAATAATAAGCAAGAAACTGTTAATAGTGAAGCAGTTAAGGTAACTGACTGTGATAACAGACAAATATGATGCTATACTTGTAATCACGTAGGGCATTGTCCCAAGAAAATAAAATATGTAAACAAGAAACAAAGGACAGTGACAAGCCTACAACTGTAAGAGATGCCCAGACACATTTAAAGTAGGTGATCTAGTATTATTAAAGACACATTCTTTATCTTCTGCAGTAGGAAGTTTGCTGCAAAATTTACTCCGAGGTGGAATGGACCTTTTGAAGTTATGAAGTGTGTTACTCCATTAGTGTATGAATTAAAGATCCTAGATCAGAGGCAGTTATAGGACAATTTCATATCTCTAATATAAAGATACATGTATATATATTTTTCTCAGTGAAAATTCTTTTGACACTGAAGAAGATGAAAATCATCCTAGGCAGTTGCAGCAAAATGGAAATGTAGAGTCACGAGATAGTGAATGATATAGTTAGTGAAATATTGCTGTTTGTCACCTGATATTGTTATTAATATAGAAATGTGATTTTGGAACATTGTGTTGTTTTTTGGAATTAGGTTTTTTTCTTCTTATGCTTCTTTTTCCTGATTCCATTATTTGAAATAATAAATATTGTTATTTATGTTTTATTGTTCATTAACATTAGTATCAAGTCCTGGCGAGGCATGTTTTTATTTATTGTGTTTTTGGTAAGTGCTAAATTTTATTCAAAGTGTTGTTACAGTTTAATAAATTGTTGTTGTTTTTATGTTGAACCTTGGTTGTAGTGGCATGTTATTTTAGACTGTCACAAATTAATAACAATACTTATACATTAGTTTCAATATGTGTATTAACTTGCAAATCCATTTAACTTAGTCTTTTTAGTTGTTAAAAGGAAAGACTGTTGAAGCCTCATACTAGCATTATGTGTCATGAAAATAGTTTAGCTATCTGTAACATCACACATGTGAATACAACAATGTTTTTCACCAAATAAACCTGTGAGTAGATATTAAATGTAAGTTTTTGTTAAACTGAATTCTCTGTCAATTCTATTGGCTCTTTTCCCATATAGTAGCCAGACCTGACAAAATAACCAGCAATACCTGACAAGTTCAGTCATTGCTGTTTGGAGGTTAGAAGGACAATGTTTATTTAAGAACATACTTTAATATATCATAAAATACTTGATTTCTACTGTGGTAACCACCAAGTTTGATTTGAGACAATAGGTCTGCCAATTCATTAATTTTTGAAATGCCAGAAAGATCATAGATGACTGAACTTTTCAGAGGGTTTGTTTTTAATAAACAGTGGTTTTACAAACATTTCAGTGCTTAAAAGATCCTTGATAAATAACTTGTATGCAGTCTTTTTTTTACCACAGTCTGACTCGTGTACCAGATTTTATATATAGATACACAAACACACACGTACATACATGTATATCAAAATATATATAGAGTATCATGGCTTAATTAGATTTTTATGGCTCTTAAGCTCATGTTTTGAGTATTTTAAGTTGATAAATTAACAAGTTTTTAGGAAATAGAAATCTAATACATTTAACCTTATATAGATATAAAAGTTATGGAAATATGTTTTAATATTTGCAAGTTTATTTTAATACATTGGTTTTTACTGAAAAGTATGTTTACGTATGTACACAAGTTAGTAACAAAATATTATTGTTTTGAATAATTTGTGACAGTTAGACTAGCAACAGTTGAACATATCAGTAAAAAGTATTTAGTAATAATATTATAAAGTGGAATTGTAGAAATACTGCTGTTTAATTTGGAGTTAGTGTGAAGTCAATCATAGAAGCAATATTTTAAAGTATTTGCTGAACAAAAACTTTTATCAATATTTTATGTAAAAGTAACTTATCTTTGCTTTTGTTAGTTAACTTTGACATTACCTGAACTTCATTTATAAGCCTTTTTGCAATCTTTTATTTAAACTAAGAGCATTTTTTGAAACCTTGTGAAAGATTTGTATAGATATAGTACCACCAATGTCATATTTGGTGTGTATTTTTAATGACGAAACTTGTGTTGAGTAGTTTGTCTTTAGAATTTTGTGGTATTAGAAAGTTCAAGTTAATGAGAAATACATTTAGTTTTATGAAACATAAACTGTTCTAATATGTATTAAACAGGTGTGAATTCCATGAAGAACTCGATAGTCCGCACTGTGCTCTGGGCAGAGCTCAAAGATTATGGTGAGGATTATAGTATATATGAGGATTTTCTACAAATAAAAGAAATGAAAGGATAGTTATGATTTTTATGGGTTCGTTAAATGTGAAATTCTTAGGATAATGGTATGAGAAAGCTCTTTAATGCAGAATAGCCATGTTTCACAACAATTTATCCACTCATTCTGTAAGATTTTAAAATATATTTCAGTAATATATTAATATTTAACAATCAGAACTATTCATATGTTTAGATGACATATAGAGTGCAAAGGATATGATATTTCTGTCTAGGTAGATAAACATATCTGAAGTTTGGAAAAAATTCTGAAGTCTTGCAATAAGTTTTGTATTATTAAATTCCTGAATTAAGATGTATTTTTTAATAGTCTGTATTTATTAAAGTAGATATTTGTATGTTTTTTCAAGTAGTAGTATGTATAACAAAATATTAATGTGTCTATATGTTTATAAAATTTCACTTTAAAGTGATCAAAACTTTGTTTTATCTTTCAGTTTTATGTTGTCTGATGCTATATGTAAATATTATGATGTAGAGCCAACCCTGAATCATTTACCTCCAAGAGAATTTGAATCTCAAAATTTTACAAGAATGATCCCAAAACTTGTAAGTAGTTGGATGCATTTTATGTATAGTAATGAGTTCTAATTACATTTCTTGTATTTTCTGTAGTTCACCACCAATATATGTGTAATTTATTTTCCTACAATCTCATCAGATTCACATTATAACTTGTTAGGAATGATATCTAGTATTGTACGATTATATACAAGGAGGGTTGCAACATTCCCATATAAACTAATTTATGTATATCCTAAACCCAGAACTGTACAAACAAAAGTCATAAGCCTGTTGTATGTGGTTTTTTGTGTGAATGTCAACTTCTAACTTAGTTTTACCAAACAAACTACAGAGTGATTCCTTGTGAATTTTCTGCTGAGTGTAACACACCCAAATATATAGTAAACTACTGTTAGTGTCAAAACTTTTTATATATATACACTGAGTGGTCACAA